ACACACACACACACACACACACACACACACACACCGACGCGGTGATAGCAAATCGACGCAGAGTACGAGGCATCCAATCAGAAGAAAGCCCTGGACCTTGTGCTGCAGCACCAGGATGAGCTCGAGCAGACCGTGGATGGTGAGCGCAATGCATGGGCAGTGAGCATGTGAGGGCGTGCATGAGGACGCGCGGGCGTGTAGGTCGATTTGCGAATATTTGCTCCGGCGTTGATACACAAGACAACACGGCTGCATGGCTATGCAGGGCTATGGAGGATAGCTCGGTCCATGTATGACAAGTCCACGTTCTCCAAAGGATCTGAACTGGTGAGCAAAAGCCTCCAGCGACGTTTTCGCTGCAATTCCGAATGCTCACCTGACTGGCACGCATAGACACTTGTGTCGCCACCCTGTCGCTTCCATCAAGCCACAGCCACTGCCGCTCACACGCGCCGTGATACCTGATGTCTAGACTGTGCTGCAAGAGGCACAACCGATTGCCCGCCGGGCCATTGACCAGGACCCGACATGTTCAGAGGCGCACAAGTGGTACGTGCAATCATCGTAACAAGGCAAACAAAGCATGCGTGCGTGTGTGCATTATCCTCTGTGTGTTGCGCTTCAGTCGTGTGCCTTGGCGCGTCTGTATGCACACACCCATCCACACCACAACCCACACCACAACCCACACCACAACCCACACCACAACCCACACCACAACCCACCCCCCCTCACACACAACCCACAACCCATGACCCACCTCTGTTGCCTGCAGGTATGCTGTGATCACGGGTGCCATGGCTGAGCACGTGTCGCTGAACGAGAAGTTGCAGTGCGGACATGTGTTCAAGCAGCACGTGGAGGAGGCCATCCGTCTCAATACGAACGACGGGCTTGCGTACCACTTGCTCGGGCGGTGGTGCCTCGAGGTTGCCGGCCTGTCGTGGTGGGAGAAGAAGGCCTGCGCTGCTCTCATTGGCGCCCCACCAGAGGCCACATATGACGACGCTCTCAGCAACCTCCTCAAGGTCGCTTTGCCGCTGTGCTCTGTGTGTGTGTGTGTGTGTGTGTGTGTGTGTGTGTGTGTGTGTGTGTGTGTGTGTGTGTGTGTGTGTGTGTGTGTGTGTGCGTGTGTGAAAGCCCTGTGTTTGCAGCAAAATCTTCTGAGCGACCTGCAACCTCACTGTTTGTTTGCCATCATCGCATGCATGACGTGGCAGGCGCACAACTTGAAGCCAACGTGGCCACTCAACATCCTCTTCATCGGAAAGGTGCTGTTGCCTTGCACATGCACAGACACAGACACACAGATAGATAGACAGACAGAGACACAGAGGCACAGAGGCACACACAGACACAGACACAGACACAGACACACACAGACACACACACATACACACACACTTACACACACATACACACACACACAGACGCACACACACACACACACACACACACACACACACACACACACACACACACACACACACAAGTGTGTGCCAGCATCGCAGCTCACATGCCCACGTGTGTTTGTTTTTCTGCAGTGTTACTTGAAGCTGGGAAACAAATCGCGGGCAGCAGAGTGGTTCGAGCGTTGCACCCAGTGCGAACCAAAGACAGACGAGGTAATCTGGCATTGGTACTGCTGCTGCTGCTGCTGCTGCTGCTGCTGTTCTTGTTGTTGTGGCCTTTGCTTCTGCCACCAAAAAGTTGTCTGATTCTCCAACACACACACACACACACACACACACACACAACCCCGTTGTTGCAGGACCGCGAGCTGATTCAAGAAGCCCGCTCTCTCATGTAGACTCTTCCTCTTGTCGTTGCTGGTGTTGTTGTGCAGCTGTGGGGGTGGTGCTTTTGCTCTCGCTTTCGTGCATGGTTGCGTGCTTTCCCCTCGTGGATGCTTGTGTTAGGTTTTGTACTTTGCTTGATCGGTTACAGTAGAGGCGATTGATTACACACCGCTTTGCACACCGCACACAGGCCCAACATACATGTTGTGTATGCATTTGCGAGGGGAGGAGAAGATGGGTGTGAACAGACGGTGACTCGTGAGGCAACCACTTAATGCACACACAGGGAGCCACCAGCCACCCTGCCACCGTGCTACCGTGCCACCTGCCATCTGCTATCTGTCGTCATCTGTTGTGTCTGCGCCCCAGCGCGGCGCGAACGCAGCAATATTGATGATGCGGCCAGCGAGAATATGCGCGAGCAGCGCCACCACCGCCCGCACCGCGCCCACCACCACCTGTGGCGGACGAGGCACCAGCGTGTCTGTGATGACAATGTTCGCTGCACCGCTGCTGTGCGCTTGTGGCATACAAAAGAGGCGTGTGTCCCCTGATTGGTGCTGGTCATGGTGCTGACCTTGTTGCAGGTCTCGGTGCAGGTCTTGTTGATGGTGGCGTTGATGGTGGCCGTGTGACGGGTTCGCGCCAACGCCTGCCATTGGTGCATCTGAGCAGTCGCGGCGCTGCCAGCGGCGGGGAGTCGGTGGCGAGAGGAGCACGGCTGTGCACAGAACAGCAGCGTGGGACAGCAGGCCATCAATGACGGCGATGCACAGCAACATCTGCAGCCCCATGTGTGTGTGCGTGTGCGTGTGTGTGTGTGTGAGGGACGGAAGGAACGGAAGAGCATATCGGACAACCCACGGCGATGTCATGACGACCAACAGAACACACGCGCGCACACACACACACATTCACACACACCCACACATGTCTTGGCGTTGAATGAACTAACCAGGCAGAAGCAGAGGTAGAACACAGCTGTGGTTGGAAGGCAGAAGATGGCAATAGATAGAACAAGGGTGCCCAATATGAGTTCTGGAAACGTGAAGCTGCAGGAATCCACACGCTGTCGGAGCGGGTTGTACTTCCAGCCTATGCAAGACAACAGAGAGGGATGAGGTGGTGAATAGAAAGAGGGAGAAAGCAAGAGGGAGGGGGGTCAGGGAAGGTGGCGCAGACGCGCAGACGCATGGCAGGCGCAGGCGCACAGATACAGAAACACAGACAAACAGACACAGACACACACACAGACACACGCACAGACACGCACAGACACAGACACACACACACACACAGACACAGACACAGACACACACACACACACACACACACACACGCAACGGACACGGACACACACGCAACGGACATGGACACACACACACACAGACACAGACACACAGACACACGCACAGACACACACAGACACAGACACAGACACACACACAGGCACAGACACAGACACACACACACACACACACACACACAAACACACACACACATACACACACACACACACACACACACACACACACACACACACACACACACACACACACACACACACACACACACACACACACCCCTCTCACGTACCCATGAAGATGAGGGCCACACTCTTGATGACGGCGAGTTGGGAGCAGTAGAGGAAGCGGAACGTGCCGTAAAAGGAGACGACGTGCCAGGGCACGACAAACGCGACGGCATCGGCAGCTACTGCACAGCACCCAGAGGCGCCGAGCAAATGCAGCGCCGTGTACGTCGCTGTCGGGAACGTGGTCAGCCACGCAAGCGCATCCAAGAGGAGGTGGAGGAAATGCGTCCACAGCTGTACCGTGTACACAAAGGTTGATGCGAAGAACTGGGCAAGTGGCACGCACAGCTTGAGCCCGACTGGATGTGCCGACACCCAGTGCATGAGCCGGCGCCCATGCACGACAACCTCATCCACAGCGCGATGGAACTCGGCCACAGGAACAGCCCGAAGCATGGGCAGCCACAGGCGCGCGCGATCGCTGGGGCTTGATGCCTGTTCACTACCTCCGCGCTGGAGTGGCATCAGCGGCGTCAGCAACAGCATCAGGGCCAACAGCAGCGCGTGCAGCGCGATCGCATCCAAGACGGCTGCAGCGATGCGTTGCCTCCATGAGCGATGCCGACCGTACTTGTGTTGCAGCACAACCGGCAGGACCAGCTCCTGCGGCCACGCAGTTTCCTTTGCACTTGCAGGCATGTGGTGGGGATGTGAATGCGACACGACCGACGAAGAGACGACACAGGCACCATCAGCGCCGTGATGTGATGTGATGACACCCGCAAACGAGCGGGCAGTCTCAAGCCGGCTTGCTTGTGTGTGCTTGCGTGTATGTTCAACGGGTTTTACTTGTCGTGGAACAGTCACGGCACGATGCGCAATCAACGCCATCGGGGGCCCTCCCCCTCGTCCAGCGCCTCATGCAGATATGGACAACGAAAAGGGGGCCGAGGCAAGACAAGGAAGGGGGGGGGGTGCAGGGACGGGCGGCGCGTGTGTATGTGAGAGAGGAAGTAGGCACTCGGCAGGTGGTCTCAAGTGATCAAGCCCTCATGGGGGGCGGCGAGAAGTAGAACAGCTGTGTGATGGAACCACACCAAGTAAACAAAACAGCGAACGGCAACGAGAAGAAGAAGATACACGCTCATACAGGACGCATGGAATACAGGCCGGCACAAGCAGGCGGCATTGTGTGTGTGTGGGGGGGGGGGGCGGGGGCAGCGGAAGCACCAACAGCACACACCATCGACTGCACATATGTACACATGCAAAAAAACACGTGTGCGCTGGCGGACATAACAGGAGGGTGCACCCACGCAGAACAGGAAGGAAGAAGGAAGCGACGCAAGTGAAAGAGAGGATACAAAGAAAGTAAACCAACAAGCAAGCACGCAAGCAGATGGAGAGAAGGAGGGAGGGAAGGGGGGGGGGAAAGGGTGTCTGTCTGGCAACGCAAGAATAACTACAGCGAGCAAGCGCTTCTAAAGGGGCGGGGGAAGAGAGAGTGTGTACGTATGAATGAATGAATGAATGTATGTATGTGTATGTATTTGTGCGTAGAAGAGGGGGATGGGGATGGTGGCCTGCGTGTTGTTGGCTTCATTGAGCGCCGGAAAGTGACCTGGAAACATCATGTGGAAGCAGCAAGGGACAATACAAACGTCGCAGATGAGACACAAGACACAACTTTGCGTGTGTGTGTGTGTGTACTTGTTTGTTTGTTTGTTTGTTGTTGTTTGTTTGTTTGCTTGTGTGTTTGCTTGTGTGTGTGCGTGCGTGCGTGTGTGTGTGTGTGTGTGTGTGTGTGTGTGTGTGTGTGTGTGTGTGTGTGTGTGTGTGTGTGTGTGTGTGTGTGTGCGTGCGTGCGTGCGTGCGTGTACTGTTTGCACAGACCTGAGCATACGGGCCAAGTTGTCGAATCCAATCAGATATCCGTCTTCCCTCGTTCCCATGGTCCATCTCACGTCGTGCTTGAGTGGACTGTCAGTCTACACACGTCAATCATACACGTATGCAGTGGAAGCAAGTGCATGTGAGTACATACGACGGCCAGGTGTCTCGACCAAACGCCACACGCACATATTGAGACAGACAGACAGACACACACACACACACACAGGGGCACGTGGTGCGGGTGTGGTAGCAGGGGCCTGCATGGCACGTCAACAAACTTTTGAAGTTTTGCCAAAGTCGATCATCCAGATGCCGACGGCGCCCGTGGAGTCGTAGATAAACAGCAGCGAACTGCCAATCAGCTCGTGGTACTGCCCAGCACCCATGCACACGCAACAACAAACGGCGCAATGGTGGCAATGTGTGAGCGCCGGCCCGCAACCAATCGTAGCACGGGCTCGTCCAGATGGAGACGCAAGCGCCACTTCAAGCAGCAGCAGCAGCAGCAGCAGCAGCAGCAGCAGCAGCAGCAGCACCCACCAAGCAACCAACAGAGCACGCGAGTACCTTGAAGAATGCAGACTCTGTGAGCTTTTCTCTGAGGAGGGTCATCTTGTCGAGAATGCCGCGGAGAACAATGCGGCGCAGCGCCGGGTCCTCCGGCATGTACAGCTCAAGCAGCTTCCGCACCTGCACAGTGTGTGTGCGTGTGTGCGTGTGTGCGTGTGTGATTGAGATTGTTTGGGTGAGGTGATGTCGAGTAGCGAAAGCAGGACGGTCATTGCGTGTGCGTGAACACAATCGAACAGGGTGTGGATGTCACAAACGCACCTCGTCTTCGTCCTTGACTTTTTGGAAGTCGTTGCGTGGTTTCTCCCCGCAGCGCTGTGTTTGGATGTGTTGACAATCATCAATTGATCGTGCGCACACACGATGAGACCCAAAACCCACAAACGTGCATAGAGCGCGGGTAGGTCATTCACATTCACATTCGCATTCACATTCACACTCACATTCATACTCACATTCACACAATCCCCTCTCTTTGCCTCTGGCATTTACACATGTTCACGCACATGCACCACACAAACACGCACGAGACACACATGTACACGTGTGCGCACCTTGATGGCCTCTACTCTGAGCCCAAGCGTGTTGGTGGAGCTTAATCGCTCGCGAAAGATCATGTATCTGCAATCAACGGCAGAGATGCAGAGGGCAAGCAGGGCCACGTCCATGAAAGCATGCATGCGTGAGAGCGTGGTTGCGGTTGAATATGTGCGTGTGTATGAATGGGAGGGCACATCTGCAGTCGCATGACGACCTGGTTCTTTTGAGTCCAAAACCACAAACCCAAAATCGCAGTTTACACACGCACACACAAGGCACACGTCCACTTGCGCAACATAGCACCGCCAAGATTGTGTGTGTGTGTGTGTGTGTGTGTGTGTGTGTGTGTGTGTGTGTGTGTGTGTGTGTGTGTGTGTGTGTGTGTGTGTGCGTGCGTGCGTGTGTGCGTGTGCGTGTGCGTGTGTGTATGCACGTACACGTGCACGTGCCCACCTTGCTTTTGTGATGCCGACGCGCTTCTCCTCCTCGGACGGTTCGTCCGGATCCAGCTTGACCATCTTCCCAAGCAGATCCTATTATGGCATTCGCAGCGGTCAGCAGGCGCAGGTGGTGTGGTATGCAGGCACACGCGTGAGCCTCCACACACACACACACACACACACACACACACACACACACACACACTCATGCACACATACAAGGTAGCAAGCAAGCACACGCACACGTTCATTTGATAGCGAGCAGACAAGCAAGCGCAGTTGCAAACGGCTCACCATCCGTCTCTTTGTTTTGGAGACCTCGACCTCTTGAAACGTCCGTACGCCCTGCAGAGAACCGGACACACATGCGCACAGCGATGAGCACGCGTCATGAGGGACGCACGTGGGCACGAAATCCATTCAGCAGCGTTTGTTTGCATGTGCATGTGCGTGCGTGCGGTTGTGTGCGCATGTAAAGTTGGCCGCACCATTTTCACGTCCATTACAGATGGATCGTCGAACAGGCACAGGAGATCCTGTTATGTTGCAGGTATGCAGATGAGCAGAAGGACGCAGACGAGCGCGAGGCAAGCGAGTGTGGCACAACGCATACCTCCATGTGAAAACACACACCCAGGCACACACAGACAGACACACACACACACACACACACGCACAGACACACACAGACACACAGGCACACATCCTGCGGGTGGGGACCTGGAGCTCGAGGTACTCGACGGGATTGTTGTCTTCGTCGCGCAACATGACCGGTTTGAAGTACAGCGGCACCGAGTGCTTCAATGTGTCGCTCATCAGCTCCTGTGCACACACATGCAGAGAGCAACGCAATGCGCCATGCACATGAACACACATGCAGAGTGCAACGCCATGTGTGATGCACACACACACACACACGCATACAACGCGGACCTCGAGCGCAGCCTTTTCGAGTTGTGATGATTTCTTGTAGATGACGCCACCCTGACCGGACACAAAGTCGCCTGCAGTGCACACATACACACACATAAGCATAAGAACGGGCACGACATGGTAAAAGTAGGAAGAACGGCAACGCAGGCAGGCAGGCACACACACACACACACACACACACACACACACACACACACACACAATCACACACACACACACACACACGCATCACAGCAGATGACGGACCTTTGTGCCCTGCGAGCTGAATGAAGGTTGCCCTTGGTTTGATGCCTGTGAGGAAGGAGCCCAACGGCGACTGCAGCAGCGTTCTCCACGACGGTTTTGCCGTCGGCGGTACAACCTGGCACGGCACACGCAGCCGAGGCGGATGCAATTCATCAGCATGGCGGTCCCGTTGACCCCACAACAGAGCACCTCCATCACACTCACACTCACACACACACACATACATGCACATACACGAACAAACACGCTTACACTCACGCGCATAACAAGGTTACGCACCTCTCCATCGCGTTGCACGGAGAGGAGGGGCAAAGGCACAAGCTCTTTGCTCTCTTTCTTGGCCTCGTCAATCAACGAAGATGGTAACACAATCGACTGCGGCACAATCCTGCACGCATTACACAAGCACCCATATCACCATAGGTGAGTGAGTGAGTGAATGGGAGAGAGAGAGAGTGTGTGTGTGTGTGTGTGCGTGTGTGTGATATTTCGGGTGTGTGTGATATTTCGGGTGTGCTCGGCTCAACACTCGACGCCAGCCCGTCTCATGCCGGTTGCGATTCAACGCACCGTTCGTCAGCCTCGACGGGCGGGCCCTCCACTACAGGGAACGCGGGCTGTGCCACGTGGGGCTGCCGTGTTTTTTGTGACTGTCAACACACACACACACACATACACATACACACACGCACACACACACACATACACGAGCACAAGCGCAGCGGTTAGGGACGCGAATGGGTGCAGCCGCATTGCTCAAACAGGCGGCATGTGTGTGATAAGGGGGGGGGGGTGACGTTACCGCTGAGGCTGGCCGCCGCGGTTCGGGCGCTTCCATGAATTTGACATGTTCTGCCATGGTGTTGTATCTTCCAAGCGGAACGGCCACTGTTGTTGTTACAGCAGCGACGCACACGTACAGAAACGCGGGAGGTCAACACAAGCACACGGGCAGCGTAACAAGCAACGGGGCGTCTTGGGGAGTGATCTCCGGCAGTGAGAGAAACACGGTGGCGACGATCAGCAAGAGCAAGTTGGAGTGCAAAATGGGATCGAGATGCACGCGGGTGCAGAAACAATAATAGCACAAGGTGTGTGTGGTGCGGGGCAAGGGTCGACCCACCACTGGCGTCATGCCACGGGCGGCCGCAGAGGTGAGGGTCACAGTTGTACCCTGGCTGTGGGTTGTAGGGGGAATCATGCAACACACACACACACACACACACACACACACACACACACACACACACACACACACACAAGAGACAGAGCGGAACAGGGTGTGAGACGTGACGAACCCTCAGCCCAACCGCAAACCAGGCCCATCAAAGCCAGGTTCCGAGCCAAACCAATCACTCCTGCATCACCAAGGCAAACAACGACACCACCCTTGTTGTTGTTGTTGTTGTTGTTGTTGTTGTTGTTGTTGTTGTTGTTGTTGTTGTTGTTGTTGTTGTTGTTGTTGTTGTTGTTGTTGATGAAGCAGCGATAAGCGCCATGATCCCAACGCGTCCCCCACAAGGCGCATCAATGCGAAACAACAAACCTGACTTGGGCGTGGGCTAAGGGGGAGGGGGGTGAATACGAACCAGCACCCGGATCGGACGTTTGTGAACGCGTTATCCCTTCGGAACTCGGACGGGGCGTTTCACCGGCTGGCTTGGAAACGGAACAGGGACGCTGTGCAAATCCAACAGCTGGCTTGTGTCCACGCTGTTTGGTGAATTGGGTGTCTGGGCTTCCGCACAAGCCACGGCACCAGCATGAGAAAGCGTGGGCGGAGAGATGAGTGGTGGGTGCACGACAAGGCAAGCCAGCTGGGGAACCAGGGTCGCATCCCATCACATCACACCGCTGTGTTGAGAACATCACCCGGACCAAAGCCAAAGTAGGTGCGGAGCCGCACTCAACGCATCCGACACGAGAAACCCCCCCCCCCCAAACGACAACACAGTCACAAGTGTGCACACGTACACATCGCACGCCGGCTCACCTTGGGCTGTTTCGTGCTTGGTGTGCTCTTTGTTTGTGTGGCGGTTGCGGAGGGTAGGCAGGCAGCCAAGTCAAAGTCTGTTGTTGTTGCCTGTCTCCTCTGGCTGGGTTGTTGGTGCTTATCGCTTCTTGTGTGGTCTGTTGTTGTTGTGTTCTCCTCTCAACCCGCACCCGCGAAATAAAAAAAAATTCGCTGAGATGTCGCTGCGGAGTATTGGTCGTGGTATTCATTAAAAATCGACCCAAAAACGCAAAGCAAAAGGGAAAGAGCAAGGCAGGGAGGAGGTCGTGCGAGAAGTCAGCAACCAACAACGAAAGAGACGAGCCAACCCCTCCACAAGACCGACACGCACGCACACGTGCAAAGAGTTCAGCGCGCGGCTACATGTGTCCATCCACACCCGCACACTGACACATAAAACTGCGCGCGAACGCACGCAAGGGCGCTCAAGAGCGATGGGCGAGGGCCTGGCAGAGGACCTGCATGTCGTTGTTGATGCTGACGGCGAGGTCGCGCACGCGGCTCGTGTTGTCCAGCACCTCAATGCTCTCCGTGTAGGGGTTGTAGCGAACAGTAAACGGCTTCTTCAGGCTCGCCGCAAACTTGCTGCAATTGGGCGTGTGTGTGTGTGTGTGAGTGTGTGTGTGTGTGTGTGTGTGTGTGTGTGTGTGTGTGTGTGTGTGTGAGGTGAAGGTATGGTGAGAGGAGCACGAGGTGAAACAGTGGAAAGACAAAAGTCGTGAGGAGGAAGAAGGCCACAATCAGCGTGGTCGAGCAAAACAGCGTGGGTGTGTCCAAAACCAAAACACACCGGACTTTCTCCTTGGCACTGGCAAAGCTTTCGGCGACAAAGTACTGCGGCTGGTACACTGTGACGGGATACTCTGTCACACCAGTCACCTCGGGCTCAAACGGGTGCACCTTGGGCTTGTCCGACAAGCAGTACTGCAACCGCACACGGAAAAGAAAGAGCAGGAGAGAACATGTGCGTGGGTGAGTGAATGGACGGACAAGGGTGCAGTGGACAGCTGCAAAACAACCAAATGCGCAGGTACGCTGTCACACACACACACACACACACACACACACACACACACACACACACACACACACACACACACACACACAGAAGCACACGTAGCAGCGGACCTCGAGCTCGCCAAAGGAGGAGAGGAGGCCGGCGCCGTAAGCCTTGAGCTCGCCGTTCTGGCGGCAGAGGCCAAACTCAACAGTGAACCAGTACACCGTGGCAAGCTTTGTCACGTCCTCGTCAGAGGCGCCCAGCGATGCAAGGCCAATCTCCTAACAGGGGGGGGGGGACAACGCCAGCGCACGTGTCGCAGTCAAATTGGGTGAGGAGATGAGAACAAGACACGTGTGGCACACACATACACAGGCACGAATGTGAACGTGCATGCAGAGAGTGGCACGTCACATCACATACGCATACTTGCACACACGCGACACCCTCACACACCCTCACACATCACACACACACACACACACACACACACACATCACAAACCCTCACACGCGCGGCACACATCACACACCCGTCTTGGACTGCAACCAAGGATACCGGCGATCGCATGAATTGCGACACGCCCATTTGGAAACACGCACCTGGGAGAACTCTGCAAACCCCTTGTCGGCAAAGAGGGGCACGTGGCCAAGAATTTCGTGGCAAATGTCTGGCTCTGGGGTGTAGAGGGGCTTTGACTTGTGGCGCAGGTACTGGGTGGAGTGGAACACGCGGAAGGCGAGTCCGGCCAGGAAGTCGCGGGAGGAGAGGAGGCCCGCCACGGGCCGCAGCCGGAAGCCCGTGCTGTCCTTCAGAAACTGCGAAATGTCCTCCAACTGCGGCACGTTGTCTGCGCGGTACCCGCAGTTCTCTGCCGGGGCGTGAACAGTCCCGTTCACGGGTTGTGCGTGCAGATTTGACGCGTGAGTACGCAAGCAAGCGTACGTGCGTGCGTGTGTGTGTGTGTGTGTGCGCGCGCGCGTGTGTGTGTGTGTGAAGGGAGTGCACCGCGTGAGAAAACCTGGACGCGTGCACATGTACACGAGTGCGACGAAACAGAACAAAACATCTCGTTCCTGGCACAGCCCAACAGGCCAGTTGCGCGAGACGCACCGACGAGGAGCGGGAAGACGCGGTTGAACTCGGCGCATGCGTGCGTGGGATACAGCGCCGTCAGCTTGTTGAACACCTGGCCCCTGTTGTGGCCGAGCGGGCAAGTTGGGTGGCGATGTTGGCCGGATAAGGGCGGATGAGAGAAGGGAAAGGGACATGGCAACTTGTTGCGCGTTGCAATTGGCTTTGCTCAAGGTGGCGAGGAGGAACGCCATCTACGGGTACTCAAAAGACACAGACCAGCTCACACGTTCACATGTGCTTGATTCGAGCGCACCAGGTGGCGATTTCGTCGGCGGTGTACTCCACGCGTGGAATGGGCTCGCCGTGCCTGCCGGCCAACAAATGAAAGCAAGCCACGCAGCCACAGCAGGCATGGTGGTTAGCAGCACAATTGGGTGGACGAACAACCCGATATGCCAAAAATGGTGACATAGTCCAAACACCCGGTTGAGGAATGACACGCACACACATACACACGCACATGCGCACGCATGCGGGGCGTGGTTTACTTGTAGTTGATGGCAATGTCTGCGAAGAAGGCGCGGCGCTTGCGGTATTCGGCGTCGGTGAATCCCGGGTGGTCCGACTTGAGGTCGCGCCCAGCATCCAGCACACGTGTCGCAAACACATCCTGCAGTGTGTGTGTGTGTGTGTGTGTGTGTGTGTGTGTGTGTGTGTGTGTGTGAGGAGACGGGAACATGATGACGAGCGAAGCAGGTCATCAGTGCGCCGCAACAGCAAACACGGGGGGGGGGGCGGATACGCACAAGCTCGCGGATCTTGCGGGGGAACCAGGTTGGGTTGGTGGTGTCGGGGTCATTGTCCAGCACCGTGGGTGCACGTGCCACCAGCGGCTGCAGATCCTTGACGACCTTGTCAATGGCATCAGGTTTGGCCTACGGTGTGTGTGTGTGTGTGTGTGTGTGTGTGTGTGTGTGTGTGTGTGTGTGTGTGTGTGTGTGTGTGTGTGTGTGTGTGTGTGTGTGTGTGTGTGTGTGTGTGTGTGTGTGTGTGTGTGTGTGAGTGCCAATGACAATCGCCGGGTGAACGCGCGAGCCAGTCAATCCGTGAACCAGTGAGTGGGTGCGTCGCATTGGGTGCAACGCAGCGTCTAGAAGCCACACTGCGAGCGCGACCCTGCTCCGAATCAACCTTGGTGGTGATGAAAAAGTCGTACTCCTTGTCCGAGACCTTGGAGGGGCGAGACTCAATGTGCGTCAGGTCCACATTGTGTTGCTGCACCAAGAGCACAAATAGCAGCAACAACAGAAACAGCATCGGCCAATTGTGAGTGTGGTGCATGTGCGTGTGTGTATGAAAGAGAGAGCGTGTGGCTGGAGTGTGGGGGATACTTGGCACAGTGAATCGAGGGCAGCAGTGGTAGCGGCAAGCAACTGCAAGCAGCTGTGCGCGTGCTGAACGTGCTGCACGTTGAATACAACACAACACATACAACAGGGACAGCGAACGGCGCTCATGGACATCCAACAACATAATTGATGATGTTGGCGTTGTGTTCTCAGTGGGACTGTAGAATCGCTGTCCTCACTGTTCCCTACTGCCGCTCTCCCAGTCTCCACACACGCAAGCACAGACCTTGAAGATGTCGAGGGCGTTCTCCAGGGCGCCGACGTTGCTGACAACCGAGAAGATGAGCGACATGGCGTGGGCCTCCCCATCCATTTTGGCCTGTGTTGTGATGTGTGATGTGTGAGGTGCAGCGCAGTGAGTGTGCAGGGTTGTTGTTGTCGTTGTTGTTGTTGTTGTTGTTGTTGTTGTTGTTGTTGTTGTTGTTGTTGTTGTTGTTGTTGTTGTTGTTGTTGTTGTTGTCGTTGTTGTTGTTGTTGTTGTCGTTGTTGTTGTTGTTGTTGTTGTTGTCGTTGTTGTTGTTGTTGTTGTTGTTGTTGTTGTTGTTGTTGTTGTTGTTGTTGTTGTTGTTGTTGTTGTTGTTGTTGTTGCTGTTGTTGTTTCACTTGCGTGGATGTGGATGTTCCGTACATGTGCGTGTGTGTGTGTGTGTTGTTCACGTGATCATTGAATGCTGCACTGTGTGCTGTTCCAGATCATCACTAAAGTCACATTGTTGCTGCAGTGATGACAAACAGATCACAATTATATCCACTCATGCATAAACACACGCGCGTGCACACGCACACTTGTCTACCTTCTTGCCGTTTTGGTCATCAGTGGCGGCCGTCCGCTTTGCAGTTGCACCTCCGTCCATGGTTGTTGGTGTTGGTGTTTGTCTCCTTGGTGTGCGCTGACTGCTGCAGATGTTTGGTTGGTGTTAAGTGGGGGGGGGGTGAAGGTGCAGCAGGTGCAACGCTGGATTGTGAGCCACACACACACACACACACAGAGAGAGAGAGAGAGAGAGAGAGAGAGAGAGAGAGAGAGAGAGAGAGAGAGAGAGAGAGAGAGAGAGAGAGAGAGAGCAACAGCAGCATACAGCATACACACTCATGCAAGGCACCCACTGCATCGCCTCATGCACTGCAACACAGACACAGACTCAGACACACTCACGCATCATCAGCCTCACCAAGTTGCTGCTGTCTTTGCACTGCGCCGCAATGATGCAATTGGCCTAGGAAAAGGCCAGACTAGATTCAGTCGGTACTGGGTGCTGTTCGAGAAGATTCGCTGATGTGGATCGCGCACAAAACCACACACGTGGCTGCACAAAGCAATAGTGGGTGGAAGATGCTGGAAAAATACAACACACACTAGAAGCAACAAGGCGAAGCAAGAAGCCGCAGGAAGCCAAGCACACACAAACACAGGTGCTTTGTTCTGTTCGCTGCTTCTGCCAGTTTCTTTGTGGACTCACGTGGCAAGCGCTTCACTTTTCCGTGGTTTTCGCCGCCTGCATCAGACTCACACAAACGCCCGCGTGGACAGTGACCGCCGCCCTCCGCTTTTTTGTCGACAGGTGAGGCCCTTCGCTGCTTTGCGCTGTGTGTTGCCTGCTTGCTTGAGGTGGTGGCTGTTGCGTTGGTGGTGGTGGTGGTGATTGTTGTTGGCGACCCAGGGGTGGTTGCACGCTTCATTTTCTTCACACCGCTGTATCGTTGAGCAGCTTCACCATCTGTCAATCAACTTCTTGTGTCCACGTGGCTTCACGTCCTAACAACGACCACACTCGCACACTCGCACACTCGCACGCACATACATTTCTGACACCGCACACAACTACCCATTCTTCACTCACCCATCCACTCACTCACTCACTCGTTCATTCATCAATCACCTTCGTGCCTCCTTTTATTGTTTATTGATTTGATTGCCACTATCCTTTTGTGACACTCGCACGCACGCGCGCCTCTTTTGCTGTCTCTCCCTTTTTCTTCCTGCCTTTCGCCCTCCCCCCCCCTCTTCTTCAACAGAAGACGCCACCAACAACACCAAACCCGCAGCCATGGCTGACAACAACTCCGAGACCTTCGCCTTCCAGGCTGAGATTGCTCAGCTGATGAGCCTGATCATCAACACATTCTACAGCAACAAGGAGATTTTCCTTCGCGAGCTCATCTCCAACTCGTCCGATGCCCTGGACAAGATCCGCTACCAGTCGCTCACGGACCCCCACGCCCTCGACGAGGAGAAGGAGCTGCGCATCGACATCATCCCCGACAAGGAGAACAAGACGCTCACCATCCGCGACACCGGTATCGGCATGACCAAGTCGGACCTCATCAACAACCTCGGTACCATTGCCCGCTCCGGCACCAAGTCGTTTATGGAGGCCCTGCAGGCTGGCGCCGACATCTCCATGATTGGCCAGTTTGGTGTCGGTTTCTACTCAGCCTTCCTCGTTGCGGAGACGGTGCAGGTGCGCACCAAGCACAACGACGACGAGGCGTACCTGTGGACCTCCAGCGCTGGTGGCTCCTTCACCGTCGAGTCCGACAACTCTGGCATTGTCAAGCGCGGGACCGCCATCACCCTGCAGCTCAAGGAGGACCAGCTCGAGTATCTCGAGGAGAAGCGCATCAAGGACATTGTGAAGAAGCACTCGCAGTTCATCGGCTACCCGATCCGTCTGCAGGTTGAGAAGGAGCGCGAGGTTGAGGCCGAGGACGAGGAAGAGGAGGAGGAGGAGAAGAAGGACGAGGATAAGGAGGAGGACGAGGAGAAGCCCAAGATTGAGGAGGTCAAGGACGACGAGGAGAAGAAGGAGGGCGAGGATGACGAGGAGGAGAAGAAGGCCAAGAAGACGGTGAAGGAGAAGTACAATGAGTTTGAGGAGCTGAACAAGACCAAGCCTATCTGGACCCGCAACCCGGACTCGATCAGCAACGACGACTACGCCGCCTTCTACAAGAGCCTGACCAACGACTGGGAGGAGCACCTTGCCGTGAAGCACTTCTCCGTCGAGGGCCAGCTCGAGTTTAAGGCCCTGCTCTTTGTTCCCCGCCGCGCGCCCTTTGACATGTTTGAGAACAAGAAGCAGAGGAACAACATCAAGCTGTACGTGCGCCGCGTCTTCATCATGGACAACTGCGAGGAGCTCATCCCGGACTGGCTCAACTTTGTCCGCGGCGTCGTCGACTCTGAGGACCTTCCCCTCAACATCTCCCGCGAGATGCTCCAGCAGTCGAAGATTCTCAAGGTCATCCGCAAGAACATTGTCAAGAAGTGCCTGGAGCTCTTCAACGAGATTGCCGAGGACGAGGACAACTTCAAGAAGTTCTACGAGGCCTTTGGCAAGAACCTCAAGCTCGGCGTGCATGAGGACAGCGTCAACCGCAAGAAGCTGCTCGACCTCCTCCGCTTCCCCTCCTCCAGCGGCGAGGACCTCGTGTCCTTCAAGGACTACGTGTCGCGCATGAAGGAGAACCAGAACGACATCTACTACATCACCGGCGAGTCCAAGGAGGCCGTGGCCAACTCAGCCTTTGTGGAGCGCGTCAAGGCCCGCGGCTACGAGGTGCTGTACCTCGTCGACCCCATTGACGAGTACATGGTGAACCAGGTCAAGGAGTACGACGGCAAGAAGCTCGTCTCCGTCACCAAGGAGGGCCTCGAGCTCCCCGAGGACGAGGAGGAGAAGAAGAAGTTTGAGGAGGCCAAGGCCAAGTACGAGCACCTGTGCAAGGTCATGAAGGACGTCCTGGACAAGAAGGTGGAGAAGGTCACCGTCTCCAACCGCCTCGTCAAGTCCCCCTGCTGCATCGTCACCGGCCAGTTTGGCTGGTCCGCCAACATGGAGCGCATCATGAAGGCGCAGGCCCTGCGCGACACGTCCACCATGGGCTACATGGCCGCCAAGAAGCATCTGGAGATCAACCCGGACCACCCCATTGTCAAGGCCCTGCACGATAAGGTGGAGAAGGACGAGAACGACCGCGCCGTCAAGGACCTCATCTTCCTCCTCTTTGACACGGCGCTCATGGACTCTGGCTTCAGCCTGGAGGACACCAGCTCCTACTCTGGCCGCATCTACCGCATGATCCAGCTTGGCCTTGGCCTTGACGCCGACGAGCCCGCTGAGGAGACGGCCGATACTGGCGACGACATGCCCAACCTCGAGGAGGCTGAGGACGACGTCGATGACGCCGGCGAGATGGAGGAGGTCGACTAAGCACACACACACACAAACACAAACACAGCATTCATTTGTGGCCACCCCTGCTGCCTTTTTTTGGCTTTGTTCGCTTGTTGGTTTGTTTGCAACGTCTCTTCCTCCCTCCAATTTCTCCCCTCTCTCCCTGCTCTACCTACCACGCTCAAGCGCACTGATTTGCGTATGGTGATCGCTGCTTGAGCGATTTGGTTGTTTGTGTTGCCAGTGCTCTGACCCTGTGTTGTCTGACTGATTGTTGCATGGCACGCCTGCCATCTTTTTCTTTTTTTCTCTCTTTTCCTCGGAATTCCTTCCGAGTACATTACATTACATACGACTACCCTACCCACATGACCTGGTGTTTGCAGGTATCGTTGTTGTGTGTGACAAAATCAAGGGGGATGGAGTGGGGTGGGGTGAGGCTGCACACACACACACACACACACACACACACACACACTTCCCGTTTCGGTATCGTCTTGGAAAACACTTTACACGAATGCCACAACTTAACGTCTCTCCACTGGCACAACAGTAAATGCCCTTGCCCACAATGATTGCTGAGCGTTTGAGGTGTATTGAGATCGTCAAAGAGTGGAATAACCGAAACACACACAAGCACCAGCGAGGGGAAAAGAGGGATGGATCATGTGTTTTGACAAGTGTGGTGTGGTGCGTGGGTATGTCAAGCAAGGACGCTTTGATAAGAGGCTTGGATCTGAATGTGGGTGTGGTTTGAGGTGGTGGGTTGTGCGTCACTGGTTGGTGGCTTTTGTTGCTTAGAGCTCGTCGTGGCCCTCAGCCTCAACGCTCTTGGCGTTTGCGTTGAGGTACTGCTCAAAGTCAGCAAGCTCGCGACCGCCCTGCACAAGAGAGTGAGGCAAAACGTGGATTGGATTGAGGGGGTGGGGTGGGTGTTGGATGGGTGTGAGAGAACATGACAGTTGGCGGTGGAATGCAAAGAACACAAAGAACACAAATGAACACACACACACACACATCAACACAAGACGGACACACACAATCACACACACGTACGCACATAAACGCAACCATTCACACACACACAGAGGTTGGACGCACCGTGTACTCCTTGCCGGAGACAGTCTTGGAGCCGGCCGGGTAGAAGCGAAGGGTGGGGAACCCACGCACAGAAAGGCCATCAACCTCGTTGGCGGTACCGTCCATCTTGGCAATGACAATGTTCTTCTTGTCAGCAAACTTCTCGCCCAGTTGGTTGTAGGTGGGCTCGAGCTTCTTGCAGTGGCCGCACCATGGTGCATACACCTCAAGCAGGACCTGTCCGGCGAGGGAGATGAAAAGGACATGTTGAATACCATGTTGTGAGTGACGGATGCTTGAAAAAGGCAAGGCCAAAACATACTCATTGCACAAACAGACGTACAACGTGCGCACGCACACACACGCACGCACGCATGACAAACGCAAACTATGGGCGAGAACTCACGTCCTTGGACTCGTCCATGACAATCTCGTCAAAGTTCTTTCCGACGATAACGGTAACGGGGCCGTCGTTGGGCTCGGGGACGGGCTCCGACTTGAAGTGGGGCTTCAGGTTACCGGCGAGGTACTCCTCAATGTGGGCCTAAATAAGGTTAAGATGCACGCGCAAGGAAAGAGAGCACAAATGGTTGTGTGTGTGTGTGCATGTCAAAAGGTCAGCCTGCGTGCGAAGTGGCAACCAGACAAGACAGCAGGGGGGGGGGGCAAGAGTACCGCCGTCAAGAAGGGGAAAAAAGAAGGGCGAGGGCAGAAATATAAAACATAGAAAGGAGACATTGTGGCGGTTGAATAAGAACAACATATCGACTAAATTGAACAGGAATGTTGGGGCGGTTACGGGAAGGAGTTAGCAGAGAAGGTTCACTTGCTCCATACGGGAACGCCCCAGATAACAACATCTCAGTATTCCCATGCTCGAAACCAGTTGTGCGACGGTAACAATTCAAACAACGAGAATCGTGACGCTCAACGGTTCTTTGCCATACATGGGGTGGATAGGATCGAATGGGAAAAGCATTGAAGGAAGAGGAGGCGCAAAGGAGGGAAAAGGGCAGAGGGGAAAGAAGAGAGGAAGGAGGAGAGGGCAACGGAAGGAAGGCAAGGGCACTAAAGACCAAAGGGTAGCGTCAGGCGGGATGACAAACGCAATGAAAACCCAAGCAAAAAAAAAAGGGGCGACAGCAAACCAGTTGCAACAGCAGCAGTGACAGCAGCGACGACACGAAACTTACGCGGATGGCATCGGCGTCTGCGCCGCCCTCGGGGATGGGGAACTTCTTCATCTGCGCACCCGTCTCCAGGATGTAGAAGGTTGGGAAGTCGCTCTTCTCCACGCCGAGGTAGGAGGTAAGGCGGGTCTGGGAGGAGTCGGAGGTGGCAAAGACAAACTTGCCCTTGTACTCCTTGGCAATCTCGCTGTATGCCTCGTTCTCCTCGTCGGTGAAGAGGAAGGCAATCTTGCCAATCTTGGACTGGAAGATCTCGCCGGCCACGTCCATGGTGAAGGGGATGACGGACGGCAGCTTGTTGGCGGTGACAAAGTCGGCAATGTTGAAGCGAGACCACTCGGCATCGAAGACGTTCTTGCCCTCGTCAAACTTCTTGTAGAGGACGACGGCGGGGGCGGTGACACCGGCATCGCTGGCGGCGTCGGCGTTGGTGGTCACACCGTAGGAGATGTCCTCGTCAGCCTTGGCGGCGTCGATGAAGGCCTTGTACTCGTGGCCGTCAAGCTTGTCAAAGTAACCCACGACAACAACCTTGCCAGACTCCTTGAAGGAGTTGACGGCGTCGACGTCGGCGAGCTCAACGGCGGGAGGGCCGGTGGCCTTGCGTACGTAGCTGACAATGGTGTCGACGGTGCGGCCGCCCTTGTACTCGGTGGCCTCGCCGTGCTTGAAGAGCTTGAGGGTGGGGTAGCCGCGCACACCAAATCGGGACGCCAGGTCGCTCTCCACGGTCGCATCAACGGCGCCAAGCACAATGCCGTCCTCCTTCAGAATGGTGGCAGCCTTGGCGTCTGCACAAAAAGTAAGTGAGAGAGAGAGGGTGGGGAGGATTAAGAAAGGTGGACAGTGTGTGTGTGTGGGTGTGTGAGTGATTGAGGATTACAGCGAGAGAGGGAGAGAATGTAGGTTGTGCGTGTGTGATTGCAAGCAAGCATTCGCGTGGAACAACGCCAAAGCTGAGATCGCACCACCGAAGGAGCACCACCCGAGGCAACAGCGAGAAGGAGAAACTCCAAATCACTTACACTCTGGGGCGAGCTTCTTGCAGTGACCGCACCAGCTGAACGAACAAAGGGATGTGTGCGTGTGTGCATGCGCGTGAGTGACAAAAAAAAAGTGACAGAGAAAGAGATCGCATGTGGTTGTTTGGGAACAGGCAGACAAACAAATGGCAATGCGCAAAGGGAACGCGGCCAAGGTGGCCAGCGACGATAAGAGGCATCGCCGGCAAACGAGGAAGCAAGAGACACTAGACAAACAACAACAACAACAACAACACCAACAACAACAACAACAACAACAACAACAAACTCACGGGGCGAAGAACTCGACAACGACAAAGTCATTCTGCTCGATGGTGGAGTCAAAGTTGTCGGACGTCAGGGTGAGGACATCATCGTCGGCAGCGTGTGCCACGCAGGCCAGCGCCACAAGGGCGATCACAAGCGCACTCTTGAACATGGTTTGTGGGAGGGCTGTCTGGTTTGTATGTGCACAGAAGGAGGAAAATGCGTTGCTCTGCGTGCCTGTTGTTGCTGGTGTGCAGTGCTCTGTCAGCCACAGGGATATTATTTTTTTCGTATTTCTTTTGAGGGAAGAGGAATAGTTGTAATGACATGGGAAGAAAATCGTCTACACGCCACGTCAGCGAGCAACGCCACAAACAGAAAAATGAAATTGAACAGCACAAAGTGCAGTGGAGGTGGGGGGGGGGGGGATATGCAAACGACATGATGATGATGGATGGGTGTTAAAACAGAAGCGCAGCAGTGGTAGTGGTAGTAGTAGTAGCAGCAGCAGCGTGTGTGTATGTGAGTGCGTTGTGTTCCTTTGTATGCAGGTAGCAGTCTTGCTTGCTTGTTGTTGTTGTTGGTCTTAGCATTGCGTTTCTGTTGGGAGGGAGGGCAGACGACGCGTGTATGTGCCGTACGCCCAAGACTGGTCAGCCCAGCGACCACGATCCTCGTGCCCTGCAGGTGGCGTGTGCGTGTGCGTGTGCGTGTGCGTGTGCGTGTGCGTGTGCGTGTGCGTGTGCGTGTGCGTGTATGTGTGTGCGTGTATGTGTGTGCGTGTGGGGGGGGTAGAGGTTGGCGAGATTGGTGAGAGAGGCGCGAAGGAACGTGTTTGGGGGGGGGGGTGGGGCGAAAAGGGAAGAAGAGCTTGCATTCATCAGGACAAGGCAAAACCACCTCACATGAAGGTTAAAACATCACACACACACACACACGCACGCACGCACACAGGGGTCGTGGCGTACCGTGTTGGTGGGCGGAGCGCACGTTGATGGGATGGCGTCCAAAGGGTCGCGAAGAATCTGCAGTCGGCGGCGGTAGTGCGGTGATGAACAGAGAGGCACCGTACTCAAGGTGAGCTTGTGATCTGCTCTTGGCATGCCACAACCTTCTGTTCATCAGCCAACCAACTCCCATTTCACACACACACACACACACACACACACACACACAACATGCAGAAATGCACCCCCTTCCCCCAGCACACACACACACACACACAACACGCAAGCACGCACGCACCTTGTGCGCCGCCCGTGAGCGAGTTGCGTTCAGCACCCTCCTCCTCGTCGGGTCCAATCACATACAGCTGTGACCCGTCAATCACCTTCTCCTTGGCCCACCGACGCCGCTGCACCACCACAAACGCAATGGCAACAACGACGACAATCACCAGCACCACAGGCACGACAATGCCTGGCTCATGTGTAATAGTGTGTGTGTGCGTGTGTGGGTGTGTGTGTGCGCGTATGTGCGCGCGTGTGCGTGTGCGTGTGCGTGCGTGTGAGTAAATGTGTGTGCGCGCGTGTTCATTGGGAGCACGCACTTGGTATGTATGCGTGCGCGTGTGGAACTAGCCAACAAAAAGGCACACTCGGAGGCTCAATGCTTTTCTCTGCCCTCACATCACACAAACAGGTCCATGTCCGAAAAGAGCTACTGAAGCCAACGCACCGGCCACGCCAACGCCGGATTTGTTGTTGCGCGAGTCGTTGGAGGAATCGCCAACGTTGGTTGCATCGGGACTCTCGGTCGACGACACCGTCTGTTCATCAAGGTTCGCGCTGCCGGGGTTGCTGTTTGTCACATATGTCTGGAACGTGTACTGCGCGTACCTCGTCTGTCAAAGTGTGTGTGGTGTGTGTGTGTGTGTGTATGTGTGTGTTTGTACGTGTGTGTGTGTATGTGTGTGTTTGTACGTGTGTGTGTGTGTGTGTGTGTAGAGTGACGTGTGTATTTGTTTGTACGAGTGTAGTGTAGTGTGTGTGTTTTTGCGTGTGAGTATGTGACGAGAAGTGCCTTGTACAGCAGAATACACCTCACAATTCGCGCAGCAGAAAACACAATCCATTGTTGCCAGTGCCACAACGATTCCACGCCCCCTCCACTCACCCTTTCCTCGTCTCACGTGTACACTGAAAACCAAAACACACTCACCTTGTACAGGGGCGAGACGGCAAGGGAGGAAGCACCGCCGTGGTTCTTGGATGATGGTGACACGCCAATCACGGGAAGGAGGTTGTAGTCTGACGGCTCCACCTCAATGGCAAACGCATATGTCGCGTCGCGTTGCAGGGTGATGGGGGTTTCCAGGAGGAACCGCTGCCACGATGCACACTGCTTGCTTGGCTCCTTGTCCACGCACACCACGTCGTCGTCGCACGTGGTAGTGATGGTGATGGGCTGTCCAATGGCGTTGTTCTTCACCGCCTGGAAGCTGGACGGTGTCCCCTCTGCAACGTACAAGGTCGCCGTCGACTCGACGCAGTGATCCTCGGTGCCAAGGTACACGCTGACTTGGCCCAACTCGGACGTCCAGCCCGCCGTGAACGTCTGCGCGCATACATGTGTAGGTGCGTGCGTGTGTGTGTGTGTGTGTGTGTGTGTGTGTGTGTGTGTGTGTGTGTGTGTGTGTGTGTGTGTGTGTGTGTGTGTGTGTGTGTGTGTGTGTGTGTGTGTGTGTGCATGTGTGTGAAGGGGGTGGGGGAGACAAAGGGCCACAAGATGAGGTGTGCGTGCGGCACGGCAGTGAGTTGCGGTTGCTCGACATTTGAGCGCAAAGCAATAAAGGGACACGATACTTGACAAGACAACCAGAAACGACCGGCCAAGCAGGGTGGGGAGGTCATTCATGCAAGAGACACAACACAAGTACATCGCATGCACGCGTGGACTTAAAGCAAGCACGTGCACACACTGGCTGACGTTCACGCATGCATGCACGCGCTCATGTATGCGCATGTACGCATACACTCACGTCTACGCATGCATGCACACGCGCGCACACAAGCACACGCACACACATAAGCACACACATACGAACACACACACACGCACACACACACACACCTGCCACATGTTGCCCTGGGGCAAGTAGCGCAGCGCGCTCTCGTCAAAGTCGGTGGAATCGCCAAGGTAGAGCGCTGCAGATGCACTTGATGCCATCTGCACCATAACCAGAGCCAGCACAGCAAGCGCGGCACAAGTAGGCATCCTGGATCGTCGTTGAGGCAACACAACCATGGTAGGTCTTTTTGCAGGTGTTTCTTTGAATCCGAGAGTCCCTGCCCAACAAGTTGTCACAACGATCACCCACGCAGACACGGACGCGTACGCGCAAGATGACAAAGAAAGGAGCAAGAGCCGCGAGAGAGCGAGAGAGGAGGGAGGGACAGAGGCAGAGGCAGAGGCAGAGATGGAGCAAAGTGCTGGTGTGAATGCTTGTGCATGCAAGGATCGAGCAAGCCAGCAGTCCCAGCCGAGGACACAAAAGACTGGAACCACAACCACAGATTGGAAACACAGCACAGCATCAAATTGTGGTGAACCCCCATTCATCACCACACCCAACACACATCAGTCACACACTCAAGCACCAAGAAGCGAGCACCGAGGCCGCGCCCTTGCATCCATCCGAGATACTATCAATTCACATCCACACAGTCCATCCATATCCCTCAATCCATATCCCCACCTCACAACCACCACACAACCATGCCGCACCTCACCTGCAGCGAACAAACAACAGCCAAGAAGCAGAGAAGAAGTGGAGCAAGGAACAAACAGTGGCGCTGCTGGTTTTGCTTGTTGTTTTGTGTGGGCGGGCGCGGCCGGCTTTGTTCTCACAGCTGATTGGCCAACTTGCCTGCATGCACTCAAACGCGCAAAAAAAAAAAATTCCCTCCTTCGATGTGAAACACTGACTTCAGTCTGGTAGCCATACAGCACCTGTTGCTGTTGTGTTGATTTGACACAAGCACGCACAACAAGAAGCAAAGCACACAACTCAGTCCATCCTCCTCCTCCTCACTTGTGCTGGCCAACATCCACGATGAATGCGACGGCAAAGAGCTTGTTTGTGGAGCTGTGCTGGCTCAGCATTGCGCTTGTGACGATTGTGCTGTCCATCTTCACTGCGCAGCAGCTGCTTAGGCTGGAAAGCGACCTCAACGATCTCCATTCAGGCAATATGGACAAACTCCGCACCTGCCTCTTCAACAAGCCAGCCACCACCGACTGCCCAGACCCAGCCAGCAGCTCGTACGACCCGGACACAGATCCGTGCGTCACGTACCAAAACCCAGCAGAGGACAACGACAACACGTTCCGCGCCTCCAGGTTCTTCTCCTGCGCAAACCCAGATTTTTGCAGGACGTTCTTTGAAGCAACGGAGAACGGCACCTCCACCGGCGGCAGTGGCACCATCGTGGCCGGGCTCTCAAAGCAGTGGAACAACGTGCTCACGTACCAGGGGATCAGCATCCCGTACCTCTTTGTCGGAGGCCTCATGGGCCGTGCCGCGTCCGGTGTCATGGCTGCGTTCCTGGAAACGTTCCAGATGTGCCGCATCAGGCTCAGCAAATCCTTTCTCAAGGGCCTTCTCTATCTCAAGAACATCACGGGCGTGCTGAGCTGTGTCGTTTTCTTCCTCTTTTGGATTCTGCTGGATCGCCTCGATCGCAAATCTATCATTCAGGACGTGATTGACGCCAGATGCTACGACTTTGATGGTGCGTGTGTGTGTGTGTGTGTGTGTGTGTGTGTGTGTGTGTGTGTGTGTGTGTGTGTGTGTGTGCGTTCTTGCGTGTTCTTGTGTGCGTGTGTGTGCGTGCGTGCGTGAGTGTGTGTGTTCTTGTGTGCGTGTGTGCATTCTTGTGTGTGTGTGTGTTCTTGCGTGTGTGTGTGTGTGTGTGTGTTCTTGCGTGCGTGTGTGTGCGTGTGTGTGTGTGTGTGTGTGTGTTCTTGTGTATGCGTGCGTGTGTGTGCGTGCGTGTGTGTGTGTGTGTTCTTGTGTGCGTGTGTGCATTCTTGTGTGTGTGTGTGTTCTCGTGTGCGAGCGCCTGCTTTCGTGATGTTGAAACCTGTGCAAAATCGAAACGCTTCCGTGTCTTCGGTTTCTAGTCCCCTCACCAATCACACGTCACAAATCGCTCACACACCACACATCGCCACAGGACTCAAAGTGCTAGCTGCGTATGATGATGCGCTGGACGCAGCCAAAGTGGACCAGATTGGCTTCTCTGTCATCACCATCTTCACGCTCATCGGTGAGACGCTGACGTTTGACGACGACTTTGCCAATGTCATTGGCAGCGGCAGCAGCGACATCACCACCAACAAGGGCTACGCGGAGCACGTCAACCCGGACAGGCTGTCCACTCGCCTCATCACCAACGAGAACGAGGACGACGCTTTGTAACGTGCACAAGTGTGTGTGTATGTGTGTGCGTGTGCGTATGCGTGTGTGTATGTGTGTGCGTGTGCGTGTGTGTATGTGTGTGCGTGTGTGCGTATGTTTGCGTGTGTATGTGTGTGTGTGTGTGCTCTTCCTCCCTTCCCCCCTCTTTCTCTTTGTTTCTCTGTCTGCGTATCTGTGTGTCTGTTAAGCAACAACCAACAGCGATGCACATTGTCCCTGCCTCTTGGTGGTATTGACATTCACTGCGCCTGCCATTTCATTGCCTTCAGCTTTTACCATGCCTCCCTTCCACCACTGCGTTTGCTGCTTGCTCATCTTGTTTGGATGGATTTCTTGTCGTCGTTTATTTCTCGCGTTTCATTACAACAAAAGCGTGCGCAATGCGCCTGTTTTGTTCCGGGTGTGTGCGCGCGCACTCGTACGTCCATACGTGTGCTCGTGTCGATGACATTAACCATCCACAATAACCTGTTAAGAATACAAAGGAGTGTGCGCGCCAAACATCACACCGACAGACACACACACACACACACACATACACACACACACATACACACACACACACACACACACACACACACACAATATTGCTACTGCTCGAACAGGCAGGAGAATGCGTCCTGGATGGCGTGCTTGAGGACGAGTGCGCGGGTGAGGCCACCGGGCGCGGCTTGGTCGGCGGCAACCGCCCCGCCGCCACCAGCCTTCATCCTGCGCAGGGCACGCACGCACACAACACAGGAGGCACGCGGGGACGCAAGGATAAACAGGCGTGAGGGAGAAGAGACAAATGTAATGCACCGAGGAACACACACACACACACACACACACACACACACACACACACACACACACACACACACACACACACGACGACGACGACGAC